ATGATGATGATGATGATGATGATGATGATGATGATGATGATGATGATGATGATAATGATGATGATGATGACAACGAAGCTCCCCCACGTCCCCAGAGCCGGATATCCTGCAGCCTATCTCCGACATCTACCTGCTCCTGCTGGCTAACCTCCTGCCGGGAGACGCGACCTTCGACCTCGGGGCCAGCATGGAGGTGGAGGAGAACGTGCTGTACACGGTGGAGAATGAGGAAAACATTATGGACCCCAGCTACAAACCTTTCCGGGTTGGTCGTCCTAGTGTGACTTTTCCTTTTGGTCCCTTGTCCTGATTTTGGTGCCGGTATTTGTATATGCTGACGTGGTGCAATTTGCTATGCTTGAGAAACAACAACAAGAAGAAAGGGAATTATTTAGTCTGTGATGATGATGATGATGCTCATGAGGAAGCCCACGAGACGAAACGTTGAGCTGTGTCCATTAAACAAATTTTAAACATTTTATATTGCTATGTTATTCTGTCTGAAATTCAAACAAGACTCTCCCTCCTACCCTGCTTTCTAAACAATGATGATGTGATGACGACGATGATGATGATGATGATGATGATGATGATGATGATGATGATGATGATGATGAATCCTGATGTGACCTACTTTTTCTGTCCACCAGCGAGCTTCTCAAATGTTTCGAGCTCATAAAGTGAAATCTTTCAGAAAAGAGAAAAAAACTGGTTCATTCTTTTTTAAAGTTGTAGCAAAATTGAGGGCAAGCGAGGCAGGGGTAGTCCCAGAACAACATACTTAGGGAACCTAAACAAATGGGTAACAGGGAAAGATCAGGGAAACGTAGCTTTTTGAGAGCATCTGAGCAAAGTAATGAATGGAAAACCTTGATCGCCGATGTCTGTCGCAGATCTGGCACTGGATGATGATGAGCCTACTTAGACTGTGTTTCTGTACCCAGTCTTGACCCCGGGTCATTTTGTTGAGATTTCAGGGTTCCCAACCCATTTCGCTCCGTCAGTTCGGAGATGGACATTAACTTCGGCTGTCATGCCTCTTTAAGTAATGTAGCAGCGTTAAAACAGACTGTATCTGTACGACAAAAACCGTCTTTGATTGACTGCCCCGAGTGCTGGCGACGTTGTGTCCTTGAGAAAGGCACTTTACACGACTTTCCTATTTGGCTCGGTTCTTTTGAAGATGGACGTTATATTCGGAGGTCCTGCCTCTTAAATAACCTAATAGTGCTGATAGAGGCGTTGACCCTATACCATTCCGCCATACTTATAGTGCAGATAGAGGCGTTGAACCTATACCATTCGCCATACTTATAGTGCAGATAGAGATGTTCAACCTATACCATTCCACCATACTTATAGTGCAGATAGGGGCGTCCAACCTATACAATTCCCCAATGTTTTCCCCCCAGGTGCTGGTCAAGTCCCGGCAGAAGAACGACGAGCCGATCCACTACATCATGCTGCTGGTTGAGATGGTTAAACAGTTGGAGCTGCCAGAGGCGCGTGCCTTTGTGGTCAAGGAGACGCGCAAATGGTGAGTCCAGGCGGCCACTCAAGTGCACTGGTGTGCGCTGGGTTTTTGTTTCACCTTTTCTGCTTAAAAAAAACATTTTTCTATTTCAGACCACAGTGAGTCATAGCAAGCAGCCAATAATTTTGTCATCCAAGTTTTCAACATCACAAAAACTTCCGTGTAACTCCGTTCCTATTTAACATATTTGCATAAATTAAACAACAAACTGAATTAGCAATATAACATATATAATAATTATCATTTGTATAGCGCATATATGTACACACACACGCTCTCTCTCTCTCTCTCTCTCTCTCTCTCTCTCTCTCTCTCTCTCTCTCTCTCTCTCTCTCTCTCTCTTGTGAGCATGAACAGCCTTAATCTTTCTACATATACAGCAAACTCTTATGAGTTTTACACTATATCACTACCCCAGCAGACCCCAGAACACCCAGAAACCCTCTCGGCGTCCCAGGAAGCACACTGTGCAAGCAGCCGATGAGGGTCTCATTTCCGTTTTAAAATTTTGACTAACCCGCTTTTGTCCCAGCACGTTGCCGGCCCACATATAATCGATTACTGGTGTTTTCTCCTCCTCTTTTATACCAAAGATCGTACATGACAGGAGGGTTCATTCCTCTCTTTGAGTCTCGTAAAAAAGTGTCCTCAAAATCCAGTGGCGCCCTCTTCGAAAAAGCGCTGATTTTGCGAACAGAGTTACCCTACTAGTGAGAAAAGCAATAAAAGCAATACTAACAAGCTGCGCTATTCTTCTCCTTCTTCTTCTTCTTCTGAGTGCAGCGCCATCTGAACCAACGTGCGGACTTCCGCGGACACCTTTTTGGGCTGAGTGAGCAATCTTGTTATGTACGATCTTTGCTCTTATATAGACTTAACAATCAGTAGAAAGATCCTCAGCGACATTTTGGAGAGAGCAACGGAGCATCAATGGACATGTTCAGAATGCAGGGATGTTGCTTCCTGAAACAATGAGCAATGATCAATGAAGCAGAACAGTGTCTTTAGAAAACGAACTGAATAGAAATGAATCATCCAAGCAGTAAACATGCAGTTTTATTATTGATAAGTTGGAATTGCTGCGATTTTGTAGTCTTGTTATGACAGTAAACAGCGGACTGATGCAGTGAACCACCTGTAGATCTGACACCTGAAAACGTTTAAAGACAACCAGAGACTGACTTTGTTCCATTCTTTTGCTTTTGTTTAATTGTGGGTAGTTGAAGGGTGTCAGTGGTAGATTCTCTTCCTTTTCTTTCCCTTGTTACTGCTGACTGCCTTGCCTTCTTTTTTCCCAAGTGTTAAATGAATGTGTATTTTGTCACTGTACTATCTGTCATCAAACTCAAACCCCATTCAAACC